TATAACGCAAAAGCAAACACAATTTGATGCAAATAGATGTTTGTGACATAACCTCAAAATAGAGCGCTGACACGGAGAAGTAGAAAACTATGACAATTAAGGAGGCCATAAAGGCGCCCTACAATTGTAGGGACGACTGACGATACGGGCCTTATAAACATATCAAAGTGATTATCTTCAATTCAAGAGATAGTTACACTAGAACCAAAAGCACTCTTTTTTGTGTCTAAAAAAATGAGTCAAGTAGATCGACTCTGTAGGCCCAGCGAGTAGATAGAGAAAAAGAAGAAAATCCAAGGCCATATGGTCGAAACAACACGGCCAGAATGAGCAGCAGGGCGCGAGGCCACCTGCTCGTCCAGATAGACCGTCAAAGGCCAAAGCTGAAGATCCCGAGAAGCCAAAGGGCCCCTTCAAGGCCGAATAGCGCTGGAGGAGGTCCAATTGACGACCGACGTCGAAATTTGTTTCCCTTCGTTTCAGAATTACTCAAAGTGAAATACTTTTCGTCACCTAAAATAATGTATTTCCATTGGAAAAGGGTACTCGCCTTAGTTGACGACAGCGTCTTGGTATACGAAGAATATTTGTGGTACTTGAGTCTCTTTCGATATTTAAGACCATTCTACTCTTAGATCTGTATTGCTAGTCTCGTTGTCGACATTCCAACCTCATTTTCTGATTTTCTCTTAAATCTTTCCGACCTCTGTGTCAAGTGACAGTTAAACAAGGAAACAAACTTTTGTATTCAACGGCACTCAGTGTGTCAGGATTGCGGACGTTCTAAATGAACCTAAGACGGTTCAGCATGGAGTTCCACAGGGTACAGTACTTGGGCCAATTCTTTTTAATATACAGGGTGTCCCAGAAGTCGACGTCAAGCCGAAACCGGGTGATAGGCAAAGTCATAACAGCTATCAGAAAAATATTTAAAAAATTTTATGTATGTGTTTTGAAAATTATAGGTCTTTGAAGAAGATATAGAAATTTCACACCCTACGGCAGTCTGTCAACTCCTGTTACTACAAACATTAACTTTTTTTGGATTTTATTTTTACAATGTAATGATGAATAATGCATCTTCAAACTGGTGTCTCAACATGACTGCCAACTTTTCTCGCTCAGGAAAGATTGCCACTTATTTCCCAACCAAGTATTCCAAAGTAAAACTTTGCTCAACTTTAACTGGCTGTACTGGAAAAAATGTACTACGAGAGTTTGGCAAGTAACCTTAAAAGTTGGCGCATTTAATAACGATTCCAAAATGGTATAACACTTAGAAGATTACTCGTTAACTTATGCACAATTTTTATTTAAAAAAAAACTGATGCAAATTTTTCAAAATTTCCTAATTAAACAGCGATTATGAAAACGCACAGGGACCCTTAAGGATAACTGTTTGCACAACAGTGGGCATCAAAATGCTGCTGATGATGATTTACCTTTACAGCAAATGCTCAAACTGTTTTCCTTCAGCCGCAATACACGCTCGACATCTTAAAAAAGATCGGGTTATTAAACGAGCGAATCCACGATTATTAACAAACTCAGCTGCTTCCAATAGTCTTTGCCGTAGTTCAGCTACATTTTGAATCGGCTTGAAATACACTTTTTTTTTACAGTTCCCCAGTAAAAAAATCTAAAGGATTCAAATCAGGTGATCGGGCTGGCCACGGTATTGTACCAGACCGCCTTATCCATCTGCCTGGAAAGTTTTGATCGAGATACTCTCTCACTGAGAGTGCATAGTGCGCTGGGCAGCCATCATGCTGAAACCTCATGTCCCTGTAAATACTCAGTGGCACGTCCATCAATAAATTTTGTACATAGTTTTTCAAAAAATCCAAATAAACTTCAGCAGTCAAAGTCTCTGGGAACTCAAACGAACCGACTATTTTACCATTTAAAATTCCTGTCCAATGGTTTATCTTGAAGCGAGGTTGAACACGCTGTATGTGGTATGGATGAAGCACATCACTTACTTACTATTGCACACTTTGATACCGATCAGTACTCCTTCGTTTACTGCGCATCTTTACATGTTCCTGCTTGTTGATTTCGTACTGTTACTAATTTTGGATTCGTGAACTGGACTGTTGATCGCTTGTGATTTGGATTTGGACTGTTTAATTGCTTTTCAAAACAACATTTGGTTTCCTTAGACTATCTTTGATAGTATGATTGTGCAGTGCCGCTATGTCCGTGTACACCATACAAGAATATGCTAACATGCACCTCATTTATGGGGAATGCAGATGCAACGCTAGTGCTGCAGCGAGACTTTACTGTGAGAGGTACCCGAATGCAGCTCGTCATCCAGATCATCGAGTGTTCACAAATGTGCACCGCTTACTGTTCTCAGAGGGCCAACTACCAAACCAATCACACGGTGAGCGAAGATCTTTCCTTCCTTACGAAGACGTGGTGCTAGGAGCTGTCGAAGAAGACCCGAGTACACAGTGCGTGCAATAGAACTAAAAACAGGTGTGGCCAAAAGTACAGCCCATAGAATCTTGCAAAAAAACGTGCTCCATCCATACCACGTACAGCGTGTTCAAGCTCTTCTGCCCCGGGATTATGAGCCCCGAGTTGCTTTTTGTCGCACAATGTTAGAAAGACACAGAGAAGATCCACGGTTCTTTGAAAAAATTTTATGGTCAGATGAGACCACATTTAAGAAAGATGGGTACATGAACCTGCATAACTTACACGAGTGGCACGTAGCAAACCCACATTTGAAGTTTATTTGGATTTTTTGAAAAACTATGTACAAAATTTATTGATGGACGTGCCACTGAGTATTTACAGGGACATGAGGTTTCAGCATGATGGCTGCCCAGCGCACTATGCACTCTCAGTGAGAGAGTATCTCGATCAAAACTTTCCAGGCAGATGGATAAGGCGGTCTGGTACAATACCGTGGCCAGCCCGATCACCTGATTTGAATCCTTTAGATTTTTTTACTGGGGAACTGTAAAAGAAAAAGTGTATTTCAAGCCGATTCAAAATGTAGCTGAGCTACGGCAAAGACTATTGGAAGCAGCTGAGTTTGTTAATAATCGTGGATTCGCTCGTTTAATAACCCGATCTTTTTTAAGAAGACGTCGAGCGTGTATTGCGGCTGAAGGAAAACAGTTTGAGCATTTGCTGTAAAGGTAAATCATCATCAGCAGCATTTTGACGCCCACTGTTGTGCAAACAGTTATCCTTAAGGGTCCTTGTGCTTTTTCATAATCGCTGTTTAATTAGGAAATTTTGAAAAATTTTCATCAGTTTTTTTTCAAATAAAAATTGTGCATAAGTTAACGAGTAATCTTCTAAGTGTTATACCATTTTGGAATCGTTATTAAATGCGCCAACTTTAAGGTTACTTGCCAAACTCTCGTAGTATATTTTTTTCCAGTACAGCCAGTTAAAGTTGAGCAAAGTGTTACTTTGGAATACTTGGTTGGGAAATAAGTGGCAATTTTTCCTGAACGAGAAAAGTTGGCAGTAAGGTTGAGACACCAGTTTGAAGATGCATTATTCATCATTACATTGTAAAAATACAACAACAAAAGTTAATATTTGTAGAAACAGGAGTTGACAGACTGCCGTAGGGTGTGAAATTTCTATATTTTTTTCAAAGACCTATAATTTTCAAAACACATACATAAACTTTTTTTAAATATTTTTCTGATAGCTGTTATGACTTTGCCTATCACCCGGTTTCGGTTTGACGTCGACTACTGGGACACCCTGTATATATAAATTACCTCTGCAGTCTTGCAGTTGATGGCGATGTAATTGCCTATGCTGATGTCACCGTGGTGGTGTTTTATGGAGAGACATGGGAATCAACGGGTGAAAAATTGAAGACTGATTTTGCAAAAATTAAAACCCTTCTGGACACATTTAAATTAACTCTGAATATAAAAAAAACTCATTGCATTGCCTTCTCTATAACCATGGCTAATAGACCAGCATTTAATCAAATTAAACTTGATAATATTGATGAGCCTTTGAAAGAAGTAAATGAAATTTAATATTTGGGGGTTGTTTTTGATAAGCACTTGAAGTGGGACCGACATGTGCTGTATTTGAGCAAAAAAATTAGATTTTTCATTCATAAATTCTACGCTCTTCATAATATACTGAACATTAAACTACTATTAATGATTTACAAAGTACTTGTGGTGCCACTATTGGTATATCGCATAATTGTGTGGGGTGGGATGTACGGTTCAAATCTTGGGCAGTTAAAAGTGGTGCAGAACCATATTGTAAGGATTATTCTAAAAAAACCTAGACCATATCCCACTATGCAACTTTATTCACAAGAAATAAACAATATTAAAATCTTATATATCCTTGCAGTATGTAGTTTTGTACATGCAAGTAGGAAATTAAATACAAAGTATGTGTCCCACAATTATATGACCCGAGCAAACACCACTCATAACCTGAACGTTTTGTAACATATCTTGCACCTAAATTTTACAATTTGATTCCTGCTAACATCAGGAATATTGGAAATAATAAAAAATTTAATGTTTCGTTGAATATGTTCTGTTGGGAAAATCGTGAACAATTTATGCGTCTATTTTAAGTTGCTTTGAGGTAGATTGATCTGCCTATTTGTTTCTTCTCTTTCTTTTTGATATTATTGTGACACTTTTTTTCTGTGATCTTAAGTGAAATCTATGACTTACAAAAATAGGAAATTTTCTTTCATTTTGTGTATATCGTGTATCATGTTCTGTTTGTATAGTTGAGTGATTTTATACAAAAATATATATTGCACGATATTTATCAATTAATTACTGTTTTGGCCTGTTTTTGCGCATACAAGTTTTTAAACTTAGGCGCTCATATATTATAGAGAAACCTTGTTTTTGTTTCGTTAATGTATACATAGATATTATTTTTATATTGGTACATTTTGGTTCTGCTGAATAAATGTGGTAGAGTTCAGGGCGTACTGTTCTCTCCAACAACTTGATATTACTTTGTGTTTGTTAAAATTAAAGCCAATGAATTTTGTGCTAAAACTTTTAGGGAATACGTTGTTTACCTTCCAGCAGGTTTTCCGGACTCTTTTGAATTGTCGATTTATACTGATTCAATACAGACGCTACTGAAAAATACAATGAGTCAGCGGCGGCTCGTGGCAAAATAAAACAGGTGTTCTGCAAATCCGAACTTACCTATTTTTTATATGTCAGTTCGATTCTACGCTCCTTCTTGGCAGCAAATTTGTCGATCACCTTCCCGTTGAAATGTTCCATGGTCGAAATGAATTCCTTTTCAATGGACAGCATCGACAACGCTGTAAGGCGATCCTGGGTCATAGTATTACGAAGAAAAGTCTCGATTCTTTTCAATGTTGAGAAATTTCGCTCAGCCTCTGATGTTGACATAGGAGTTGTAACAATAATTTCTAATAGCTTGTTTGTTTCTTTTAGTGTTTCCTCCAAATTATTTTGTATCAAAAATTTCAAAAGAGACAGAGTTCCATGTAAATCTCGACAATCATTCCGAGCATAAATAACAGACTGTCTTTAACCGACTTTTTTCTAATTCGGGATAAGCCTAGCAGGTAGTTTCCAAATTGTCATCAGGAAACTTACCAATATGCCAATACTGAGGACCGAGCACCGACCGATCAATCAGATATCGTACTTCGCATTAGATCTTCTGCATAAATTGCAGCACATGCGTATGCTTAAATCGCGCATTTGATTTTGTAGAGAGACGAAAGCAAGCGCGTGCGGCTTGCGTCGAAGTAGTGCACAGACCCTTTTCAAGTGGCCCATGAAGAATGTTACGCTGCGGTCGCGACGAAAATGACAAGTACGCAATTGGTCGATTATAATGCTGCAAAACAGACTGGACGCCGTGTCCAGCGGGGGCACGCCGGTATTGTTTCTATTTGTGTGATAACGCCAATACTCAAGAACGTATGCAGATGCAGTAGCCAACAACACTGAAAACTCGATAAGTCTAACTTCTACAGTGAATAAATTCCTAGATGAATTTAAAAATATGTTCAACCAGCTCCTACAACAAAACAGTCTGATCCTCAATATGATTGCCGCGCTAATCAACAAAATCAATTAAAATGGCCAATTTTCTAAGAATTGCCCAGTGGAATGCCAATGGTCTTCCTAGTCATAAAGAAGAAGTTAAATTTTTTTTACAGCAAAACTATATAGAAGTCCTACTAATCAGTGAAACACGTTTCACTGAAAGAAGCTATTTTTCTATACCCGATTATACACTTTACAATACAAATCATCCCGATGGTACAGCACATGGAGGAGCTGCAGTACTTATTAAAAAAACAATCAAACACCACGAAATGCCTAAGTATGAAGAAAACCATATCCAGGCAGCATCTGTAAAAGTAAACAGTCTTCCTTACGATATAACAGTATCAGCTGTCTACTGTCCACCACGTCATAACCTCAAAAAAGAGCAATTCAAAAATTTCTTTATAACTCTTGGTCCAAAATTCATTGTTGGAGGGGACTACAATAGCAAGCATACCACATGGGGCTCACGGCTGACAACAACAACAGAAAGAGAACTGATCCAAGTCATATTAGAAAACAACTACACGTTTATTTCATCAGAAGCACCTACTTATTGGCCTACAGATGTAAACAGACTTCCCGATCTTTTAGACTTCTTCATAACCAGTGGCATATCTTCATCTTATACAGAAATATCTTCAAGCTTTGAAATCACATCAGACCACAGCCCAATTACCCTAGCTCTGAGCACAGCAGTGATATGTAAGAAACCCACTCCAAGATTGCATAATAACAAAACAAATTGGGATAGATACAAACAGATAATTGTAGATAACATCAATCTCTCAACCAGATTGAAGCAGCGAAATGATATAGAGGTCGACTGCAATAGCTTTATTTGTACACTCCAACAGGCAGCGAAAGAATCCACACCATTCATAGACTGTGCTTACAAAACAAAACATATCCCCGTTGAAATAAAGAAGCTAGTTGCAGAGAAGAGAAGAGCACGATCAATTTGGCAACGTACCCGCACGCCAGCCAGCCGAACAAAGTACAACACCTGCTGTAATAAGCTAAAGTCTAAACTTCAAGACATGAGGAATGCCTCCGTAGAAGGCTACGTATCTCAACTCACGAGACAAGATAACCCCATATGGAAGCCCATAAAAGCTGAGAGAAAACCTCATTCTACATCACCCCCAATCCGTAGCTAAACAGTAGCTAATGGTCAATGGGCAAAAAGCGATAAAGAAAAAGCTGACGCATTTGCACAACACCTTGCCGAAGTGTTCATCCCACACAATGACGATCAAGTGCAGGAAGTGGATGAAGCCAATCTCATCCATCTTTTAACTCAAGAACGGTTAGCACCTTCCTCTCCGAAGGAATTACAAAATGAAATAAACAGGATAAATATAAAAAAAGCTCCCGGAGCTGACATGATCACAGGCAAAATGTTACAAGAACTTCCCAAGAAAGGCTTGATGAAATTGCTTTATATATTTAATGCGATTATAAGGCTAGACTACTTTTTCTGTTAAGACAAAAGTTTTGGCAGTTCTGCAGCTCTGCAGAACTTAAGGGCCAGCCGCCCGTGGAATGAGTCTATATTTATTTACATCAACAATCTCCGCGATCTTTAACTTGTCACGGAGGAGGCTGCTCTCGGCGAAACTCCTTATTTTATTAAGCAATTTTCCAAGCGGTCGTCATAACTCAGCGCCACGTAAAATTCTCTTTGCTAGCAGCAGTCATTTCATAAACATCCTTCAACGAATGCAGAAACATGTAAATTTTATTACTCGTACAGGTACCTAATGTTATTGGCATACGTTCAAGCGTAATCACTTTTTAATATATGCAGTAAAGTCGGCCGAGAAAGATATGTCGATATTATCATACAAATCATCTTCTTCCATTGCAGGAGATGGTTCTGGAACTGGAGCACCTGCTGCATGCTTTGAAGGCGTTGACTCGCAACGGAATCCCGAAGTCCGTAGAAGAAATATCTACGTGGTAGTTCATTTATAAAATGGATTTCCGAACTGTTTGCTGATTGGAATGAGTTTACACAACTTTACTATACTAAGTGACATATAAATCCGAACACCCAGTTTAAATGGTTTTATTTTAATAAAATTTTGTATAAGTACTTAATGAAGCATAATAAGTAAATGATAAAAATTTCAAAATGATTGCACTGCTTTAAAGCCCTTTGACCTTTAATATTGTGTGGATGCACCCTGATGTGCTACGCATTCTCCAACGCGCCTAGGCATGCTTCTGATCAGGTGGTCAATGTCCTCCTGTGGTATCTTATTCCAGGCAACCACCAACTCCTCTCGAAGTGCTTCTAGAGTCTGAGGAGGACGTTGCAAATTGAGCAATCTCCTACCCATCATATCGCACACGTGCTCAATTGGGGATAAGTCGGGAGATCTTGGTGGCTATGGTAACAATGTGACATCATAATGTTGAAAGAAGTCTATTGTGACTCTTGCAACATGTGGTCGGGTATTATCTTGTTGGAAAGTTGTATCGGCCAGGGTGTCACGATAAGGTAAAAGATGGGGTTCTAGAACTTCGTGGATATAACGCTACGCGTTCATGTTACCTCTGATGAAGATTAAAGGTGACCTGGAACCATAAGCTATAGCACCCCAAACCATAACTCCAACAGTGTGATGAACATGTCTTTCAACAAAAAACTGTGGATTCTTCCTTTCACCACGTCGCCTTCTAACCCTGGCACGACCATCGTGCATGCTTAAACAAAATCGAGACTCGTCACTAAAGACAATACTGTTCCATTCCTGATCCCAGAGTGACCGTTGTCTGCACCACTCAAGGCGATTACGTCGGTGTTCTCGAGTTAAAGGGAGGACCCAGTGTGGCCGGTATGAAAACAAGCCAAAACTTCTCATTCGTCGGTAAACACTTCGCATGCCAATAGGTCTTCCGTGTTCTGCAAACCATTCATTTGCAATGGACCTGGTAGTGGAGAAACGGTCCCTTAAGGCCAATAATCTTAGCATCTAGGCATCGTAACCGATCGTAAAGGATGTCAAGAACCAAAATCCGCCAACGTTGATTCTTTACCGCGGCTGAGATATTCATTTTTAGAGCGTTAGTGAATTAAAAAAAAGCAGTATAAAAACCGGAATGTCCAACTGATAAGGCTGAAAATTTTTTCACTTGTTATTTACAGTAAGATAAATTCATTCACCAACTTTTATTAAAATAAAACCATTTAAACTGGGTGTTCGGATTTATATGTCACTTAGTATATTTAGGGCTTTCATTATTTTTAGGAGCCTTGACTCATTAGTACTGAAGTATTTTAAAAATTGAAATAACGGAATTTAAAAAGGTAGACACCCTCCTACAAAAGGTATGTATCTAGCAATTATCGATTGGAATAGCTTGAGGCTTAAGATCATGACTTGCTTTCGGGGGTAATCTTCGACATCAAGAACTGCGAACAAACAATAAAAAAGACAAAATATTGAAATTCGTATCCCTGCAATCTGAGGAGCATTTTTAAATTCAAAATGTAACTAGTGCGTTTATCGTTTTACCGGGCTTCAAAGTACGTATCAAGAGCTGATATCACACAGTTTTACAGCTCAGCTCAAAAAAATAAATCTGCCATGTACAGACGAAAATTCCTACGTCTTTTTGATGCCACTGTTTGTACAAACAAAGATATATATAGGTATATACATATATATATATACAGGGTGTCCGCAAAATTGGGGTTTTCCTTCACACGACGTGTAGATCTTGAAAACATAAGTAATTTTTCTTAGTACCATATACACCAATGTCTTAAGGGAACCGAGATAAAGGGCTCTGCAACATCAAAAATATCTGAATACCGTCCTGTAGCCGCGACATCACGGACTGGTGCAAGGTCACTGGCTCAACCCGACGACAGAACTGGGTCGGGGTCAGTGTGTCAGGTCAGTATGCAACCTCCAACCGACGGTTACGGTCACGCGTGTAGAGGTAATCGCGTAGACGAGAATGCCTCAACAAGCACTAGAGACGTGGCTAGAGAAGTGCAAGTATCAAAAACTAAGGTGTATCCGTTTCACGTCCAACGTGTACAAGCCCTTCAACCTGACGATTTTCCAGCAAGAGTGCGGTTTTGTGAGTGATTGTTGCATCAACATGACAATAATCCGGACTTTTTGAAATGCATATTGGTGACAGTCGGATCTACGTTCACGCGTAATGGGGTGAATAACTTTCGCAACACTCATGTTTGGTCAGCAGAAAATCCGCACGCTGTCCGTCGGGCACATTTTCAAAAAACATTTTCGGTGAATGTTTGGGCTGGCATGGTGAACGGTATGCTCATTGGACCATTTATTCTCCCAAATCGATTGGATGGGATGCAATACCTAGACATTTTACGCAACATTTTGCCTTCCTTGTTAGAAGATGTGCCATTAAGTGTAAGACAATCAATGTGGTTTCTGCGTCTGCTCGGTAGTGCATCAGCTGATTTCATTTTCTGTTGGAGCGGTATGATTTCGGCGTACTTAGCCCTTTTCGTCAACTGGAGAGTGAGTACTTTTTCCTTTATTTTTTTTACTTGGTCGCCCTCGTTTCACTACACATTACCTTTGTTATTTCAAGGGTAGTTGTTTCTGAAAAGGAAAACCCCAACTTTACGGACACCCTGTATATAGAGTCATTGGCGCTATTTTGATCATTGTATTCACATATTTTCCATAGAAAGTATTTTTTGCACCTTTTATATCCACTTTTGGTTTCTTAACTTTTTACATTCTGTAGATATATCTGATGGAAATTTTGATTGATGTTTCAAAATCATCACCACAACAACCGCTTAATGTTTATCTGACAGTTTGTCTGTCAATTCGAGATTTCGTGTGCTCGCAATTCTTCGTCACCAAACTCAAAATTAAAAATGTGTTCTCCTTGCCCACCGAATAAATCTATCCTCAGCCAATTGAAGGAATTGGTAAGCCAGATTGAGGACAATCCTTGTCCTACCTGTTGTTCAGCTTGCCCACCATGCAGGTAACTAATATAAGAAATATGTAGAGAAGGACCCGGGTTTTATCGAATTTTTTTATACGAATGACGAAAAAATTTACAGATTTTGATTTCTAATAGTTATGTTCATGTTTTGATGAAAGCAGCCAGAATTTTGAGCTATTTAATCGATGTCATCTTAAACGTAAAACGGAATAAACACTAATTGTCGTATTAAATGAATAATTTCAATGACGTAATATATACAGGGTGGCGCATCGAAAGGAAAAACACGCATTTACTGGCAGCTCGTTTTTTTTTTTTGGAAAAACGCTCAGACCTGTCGATTTTGTTTTCGAGGGGGACACAAGTTTGGCAAAAAATCACGTTAGCACGTGCAGCCCCCTAAGCGGGGGTGACACCACCCCCAAAATCTTAAATGGAAAGGGACGTCGAGTGATACCTTATTTTAAAGGTCCTTCAATTCCCTTTATAATGATGCAAAATACATGAGTTTCAGTTCAGTAGTTTTGAAGATTTATTGATTTAAAGCTAAAAAAACTGAGCTGCCAGTAAATGCGTGTTTCGTTTTCGATGCGCCACCCTGTATATTGATGTATATAATGGAAATCATAAAAAAACTTGGAGCAATCTACAGTTTTAATAACCTTGGGGAGTCGAAAATTCGGATTAACAAAGCTTCTTTGGGACCCTCATAGTAGCCGCGGTGCCCTGGCATTTCGGCTTCTGCCTGCGCGGCTGCTTTGGTGGTGTAAAAAACGCTGCAGCCTTACATAACCTCAAATACACTAGCGCAAGTCGCGCGCTGCGAAACAAAGGAGAGAAAATTATAAAATAAAGACAGCTGCTATGCGGGGAATGCTTTTATGTATGCATAGTGCATAACTTCTTCCTCGACATTCACGTTGTAGCTAAACCATTAACCCTAACACATTAACGGAAAAAAAGTAGATTGTCGTACCTCTAATAATTTCGTACCTCTAATGAATTGGCTCTGTACACGTTTTGTCGGACCCCTATACACTCCCTACTGTGGTGACAGTCACAAAACTGAAAGTTTTGTGCATCAAAATAGCATTTAGATGTTTTGTGGTAGCGTTTTGTAGATATATTATTCAACAGGTGACAGAAATTAGAAAAAGTGGGAATCTCAAGATCGATCGTATCTCAATCTCCAAGTGTCACAGAGTTTGTTCCAATAGTTTCTGGAAATGTTTAAGTAATAAAAATTCGGTAATGTAGAAACAGTATAAGAATTTCATTATTACAAGCAATATATTTCCACATCAAAACTTCATTCTTCCTTTGCATATCTTTAAAGTCAACTACAAGTTATCATATCCAAAAATATACTAAGTGACATATAAATCCGAACACCCAGTTTAAATGGTTTTATTTTAATAAAATTTTGTAAAGATGGGGTTCTAGAACTTCGTGGATATAACGCTGCGCGTTCATGTTACCTCTGATGAAGATTAAAGGTGACCTGGAACCATAAGCTAAAGCACCCCAAACCATAACTCCAACAGTGTGATGAACATGTCTTTCAACAAAAAACTGTGGATTCCTCCTTTCACCACGTCGCCTTCTAACCCTGGCACGACTATCGTGCATGCCTAAACAAAATCGAGACTCGTCACTAAAGACAATACTGTTCCATTCCTGATCCCAGAGTGACCGTTGTCTGCACCACTCAAGGCGATTACGTCGGTGTTCTCGAGTTAAAGGGAGAACCCAGTGTGGCCGGTATGAAAACAAGCCAAAACTTCTCATTCGTCGGTAAACACTTCGCATGCCAATAGGTCTTCCGTGTTCTGCAAACCATTCATTTGCAATGGACCTGGTAGTGGAGAAACGGTCCCTTAAGGCCAATAATCTTAGGCGGCGATCTTCACGGTCTGTTGTTCTACGGCGGCGTCCAGTGCCCCTTGCTCTTTGCGTACGGCCTTCACGAAGCCATGCCTGACAACACCTAACCACAGTGTCTACACTTCTTTGCACTCTAACAGCAATTGCCCGAAAAGAAAGTCCAGCTTCCCGAAGTCCCACTATACGGCCCCTATCAAACTCACTAAGTTAACGAAATCGTACAGGTCTCCGTACTCTGGGCATCGTAACCGATCGTAAAGGATGTCAAGAACCAAAATCCCCCAACGTTGATTCTTTACTGCGGCTGAAATATTCATTTTTAGAGCGTTAGTGAATTAAAAAAAGCAGTATAAGAACCGGAGTGTCCAACTGATAAGGCTGAAAATTTTTTCACTTGTTATTTACAGTAAGATAAATACATTCACCAACTTTTATTAAAATAAAACCATTTAAACTGGGTGTTCGGATTTATATGTCACTTAGTATACTTATTACAGTTTGGTATTACTCCGGTATCATCACATTCTCAAGTTTTTTTCACCTTATTCGATCTAACGAAGTAAAAGAACCATTTCTTTCAACTTAGATCAGTATTTTTTTACTCGCAAAATTCAAACTACTTCTCTCAATCTTGTTCATGATGTTCTTCCCTTTCTCATTTTGCACTTTTTCCATGTCTAATTTCAATAGATATCGTACCATACTGCGATCATGCCAAGAGTATAAATACAAATATTGTGTTTTTCTTTCATATCATTTTTTTTCTCTTCCAGACAGTACGTGAACAGCCCTTTGGGTCCAGTCATCGAGATCTACGACCCTCTGCCGAAACCCTGCTTGCCCATCTGCCAGCCCGTAATCAAGGAAGGTTGTGGCCCCCAAGGCTGTTGCCCCCCTTGCGGCTACACCCCTGTACCATGTCCGTTAACGCCCGCAACGTGCTGCCCTGCACCTCCTGGCTGTCCCCCATGCCCCTTGGTGCCTTACCCAACACCTGCCTGTCCTTGTCCTCCAAAGTGCTAGCTTGGTGCTGCCCCGTTGTTGTGGTGTTGAAGTCTGCATCCTGTGTGGTGAAAGTCACCCTTAGGGGGTTAAAATGTGATTGTTTAGGGTCAATCTAAGTGGTGTTTCGTCTGATGTGCCTTCCTTGAATGTAATTTATATTGTATAATAAACGGGATCTGGATTATTTGTAAAGGCTTTTTTTAAGGTACAAGAACAGGCTTCTGACTCAGATCTAATTTCATAGATTAAACCTTACAGAATTCGGCTTAGCAAAACGAGTCATATCGATTTCGATTAAAGCACAAGATTGATATACATTTGAAAATTTCCCACGGCAGATTTATCGAGAACCACTTATTAAAAGAAAAAACGCCGAGATACGTCAAACGATGTGTCAACGGGACAACTTTTTAACCGAATACTACTTCACCTCCTTTCACCCTCTGCCATCCAAGGTCATCCCCTTAAAAATTTTGAAGACAAGACGTATTGAGTGATAGCTTGTTTGAAAGGTCTTTAAAATCCCTTTATTTTGACGTTCGATTTTTCAAAATTGGCCTATTCGTTTTTGAGAAAATTAGAAAAATCTTCATTCATCTTAATTTGCAAAAACACACGAAAATATCACTTTTTATTTCAATAAGAGTTCAAAATGTTGCTCGTTAGGGTTTGCCAAATTTCCAATTCGTATTTAATTCAAAACAGAAACTATCAACATAAGCAGCAACTCGGAAGATTAGACGTGACGTCAAACAAATATCAACCCGAATTTTTTCCGCATTCTCTTCGCCAACATATACTAAGTGACATATAAATCCGAACACCTAGTTTAAATGGTTTCATTTTAATAAAAGTTGGTGAAAGTATTTATCTTACTGTAAATAACAAGTGAAAAAATTTTCAGCCTTATCAGTTGGACATTCCGGTTTTTATACTGCGTTTTTTTAATTCACTAACGCTCTAAAAATGAATATTTCAGCCGCAGTAAACAATCAACGTTGGCGGATTTTGGTTCTTGACATCCTTTACGGTCGGTTACGATGCCTAGAGTACAGAGACCTTCTTTTCGGGCAATTGCAGTTCGAGTGCAAAGAAGTGTAGACACTGTGGTTAGGTGTTGTCAGGCATGGCTTCGAGAAGGCCGTACGCAAAGAGCAAGGGGCACTGAACGCCGCCGTAGAACAACAGACCGTGAAGATCGCCGCCTAAGATTATTGGCCTTAAGGGACCGTTTCTCCACTACCAGGTCCATTGCAAATGAATGGTTTGCAGAACACGGAAGACCTATTGGCATGCGAAGTGTTTATCGACGAATGAGAAGTTTTGGCTTGTTTTCATACGGGCCACACTGGGTCCTCCCTTTAACTCGAGAACACCGACGTAATCGCCTTGAGTGGTGCAGACAACGGTCACTCTGGGATCAGGAATGGAACAGTATTGTCTTTAGTGACGAGTTTCGATTTTGTTTAGGCTTGCACGATGGTCGTGCCAGGGTTAGAAGGCGACGTGGTGAAAGGAGGAATCCACAGTTTTTTGTTGAAAGACATGTTCATAACACTGTTGGAGTTATGGTTTGGGGTGCTATAGCTTATGGTTCCAGGTCACCTTTAATCTTCATCAGAGGTAACATGAACGCGCAGCGTTATATCCACGAAGTTCTAGAACCCCATCTTTTACCCTATCTTGACACCCTGGCAGATCCAACTTTCCAACAAGATAATGCCCGACCACATGTTGCAAGAGTCACAATAGACTTCTTTCAACATAATGATGTCACATTGTTACCATCGCCACCAAGATCTCCCGACTTATCCCCAATTGAGCACGTGTGGGATATGATGGGTAGGAGATTGCTCAATTTGCAACGTCCTCCTCAGACTCTAGAAGCACTTCGAGAGGAGTTGGTGGTTGCCTGGAATGAGATACCACAGGAGGACATTGGCCACCTGATCAGAAGCATGCCTAGGCGCGTTGGAGAATTCGTAGCACATCAGGGTGCATCCACACATTATTAAAGGTCAAAGGGTTTTAAAGCAGTGCAATCATTTTGAAATTTTTATCATTTACTTATTATGCTTCATTAAGTACTTATACAAAATTTTATTAAAATAAAACCATTTAAACTGGGTGTTCGGATTTATATGTCACTTAGTATAGATATCCTGGGCGAACTGTATTGATTGTTATACCTGTTTAGCTATTTGTTTCATGTAAAGAATATATATAATATATCCAGTGATGATTGCACATCTTATCTAAATAGATTTGTTAATAAGCATAATTGCAGGTATTGGAGCAATGGAAATCCTCATGCCTTTGTAGAAGGGCATGCCCAATACGCCCAAAAAAATAATGTATGGGCAGGCATTTTAGGAAAGAAAGTGGGCCATTGTTTATTAATGGAAATTTGAATGGAGATATTTAGTTGGGTATGTTGGAAAATACCATCAATTCGCTTATCAGTGAAATCATTGAAAACCAAATCGAAGAGGATGGAAATATACAGGGTGGTGCATCGAAAACGAAACAGCCGCATTTACTGGCAGCTCAGTTTTTTTTTGAAAAACGCTCAGACCCGTCGATTTTGTTTTCGAGGGGGACACAAGTTTGACAAGAAATCACGTTAGCACGTGCAGCCCCCTAAGCGGGGGTGACACCACCCCCAAAACCTTAAATGGAAAGGGGGGTCGAGTGATACCTTATTTTAAAGATCTTTCAATTCCGTTTATAATGATATAAAATTAATGTACTTCAGTCCAGTAGTTTTGAAGATTTATTGATTTAAAGCTTAAATAAAACTAATCATCATTAGTGGAGATCAATACGTTGGGCAGCAAAGTAATTTAAAAATGAAGAATGATATTACTTATGAAAACATCCTACATTCAGCAGATATCCAAACTAGTCAATTCAAAACAACTTTGAGTATCATTTATTCGTCATACGATCGCTGCGAATAAGCGTAGAAAATAACTGGAGTTCCAGATTTCATGGCTAAACATTCGCATACCATGGTTAGTTATTATTGGGGTAAAAAATGTAAAAAGCCATAAAATGTTCGCGCGAGTCATATAACAATTTAAAAATTGCACAAGCGAGCGGGCAAACCTGATTATAAATTTAAGCTTTACATAAACTGAGCGAGAGGAAGAAAAACGCTGTGTAATGTTTCCTGTCCTCGTATAACCCATCACCTGCTAGGGCGTGCTTCTGTGCATAGAAACAAGTAGATAAATGGTACCCATACTTTCAATAATCTATTTTACTTAGAAATATTGCTGCATTTTTTCTTCATAAGAACTTGAAAATAAAATAAGCGAATCGTTTTAAATGTTATAATTGTTCTGGTACTGCATAAGAGAGCTAACATTATGCCACTATCAATTTCGCCAGGGTATTTCTTACTGACCTTTCAAATGATATACAGGGTGTTCCTGAATGATATGCGAATATTTAAGAGCGTGAATCTACATGAAAATTAATGTTAGTTTGCTTTATAAACTATGGTCCAAAAATGTTTCCTTACAAAAACTCGGGATGTTGACGGAAAACAATGGAAATTAATTAATACTTTCAGAACAGCTTCAGATATTTCGCTGATATTTAGTACGTAGTGAAAGTTAATAAAGTTGCATATTTTTCAATGCATGCATACTAGGTGAAGGGGGCCATTTTCAACAACTTTTGTAATCATTTCGTTGGTTTTAATTTTATATTTATGTTGTCAGTTGTTGTTGTTCATGACCCCTAATGTGTTTAATTTTTCCAATTAAATTAAAAATAATTTTGCAAGTTAGACAACAGAACGGTTTTTATTTTTTTACTCAAAAATGGCGCATCGAAGGTAAACAACTCAATAGAAATCATTTGTTTTAAATTGAATGGAGAATTTAAAAATAATTTTCATTTGGCAAAAACCATTGGCGTACTATTTTTTTCTTAAAAAATATCGAAGTCAATACCCGTATGCACGCCACTGTTTAAGCTAAAAATCATTTTTGCATTGAAAAATATGCAACTTTATTAATTTTTACTGCATGCTAAATGTCAGTGAAATATATGAAGCGGCTCTGAAAATATTAAATAATATCCATTTTTTTCCTAAAACTTCAACACCCCTAGTTTTTGTAAGGAATCATTTTTGGACCATAGTTTATAAAGCAAACCAACATTAATTTTGCATGTAGGTTTACACCCTTAAATATACGTATATCATTAAGGAACACCCTATAGTGCGTTTCAAAATAGCCCCCTCCACACTTATTCTTTGAACGGCAGGATCATTACTATATATTATAGATATATAATCTCAAAAAACCGATAAAATGTCAACTTGTTGGCTAAGTAGCTAGTATGCAAATAGTCCGTTCAGCGCTTGCTATAAGTAAGTGAGTTATACGTAAACGACAACTAGTTTCAAGTTGATCATCAAGTCATCGTTGGTTGTCAGAGCGGTCCGTGGGACCTTAGCTCTTGAGTCACAGTGTCAGTTTGTAAGTCTGTCAGGTCTGGTAACCCAGAAACCAGACAATTTTAAGGAAAAAAGGGGAAGGAAAGGAGAGAAGGAAGAACGAGAGCAAAGGGGAAGAAGAGAATCTTTTAGGATATGCAGCGTTTAGGCATTGTTAAAATCGCTTCACAGATTTTGATATGGTCTAAAAATATTTGATTTTTTCTAAAGATTGTGTAAAAATGCTCCAATTTTGGTTGTTCTAAGTTCACGAGTTAATTTTGATTACAGTGCGAGCCGCGGCCTTTTGTGCTTGCGAACTTGCTCGACTGTGTAGTCCACTGAATCACGCAACAGAGGGTTGCTGTGCGATTCCGCTAGGCTATAGCGCCGCTGCGCCTGTTGCTTAATGTAGTCCTTTAGGTAAGGGACATCGAGGTCTCTATGTAGAGTTTCGTTAGAGACATACCATGGGGCATCAGCAATAGTACGCAACGTCCTGCTTTGCAGAACCTGCAGACTTCGCATGTGTGTTTTAGCAATAAAACACCAAGCCGCACATGCGTATGTCATTGCTGGACCACCTTATAGAGTCGAATCTTGTTAATCAAACTTAATTTTGACCGTTTACATAATAATGGGTAAAGCTGCCGAAACGTAATTTGGAATTTAGTTTTTAGCGCTTCCATATGGTTCCGCCAAGTCATCCCTTTGTCCAGAATGACACCGAGATACTTAGCGG